ATGACACCGAGGCCTGTTACAAAGTCACCTTCTGGAAAGACAAGTAGCAATGGGATTAGACCAATAGTTTTGAGTAGTTTCATATGCACCTGCCCTCCCATCCTTGAACCTGTCCTTGGGTCCCCTATCCACGCGCCTGATGCAGAGAAAGCCTTTGTGGTGTGCCGGATTGTAACCGTCCCCTTTGTAACCATTTGCACCTTCCCCTTGTATGAAGGAGACTCGTGCTGGGTGTTGGGTCCATCATTTTCCTTATAAATGCCTAGTGCTTGGGTTTCTTAGACAACGCTTCCAGATTTGAAAGGGAGCTATATTCATCCTGGGAAACCTCCAGACTGGAGCCAGCCAAGGGCACCCAGTGAGAGTCTGGGTGTAACTACAAGTCATTTAGAGCCGAGGTTACACTAGCAAATAGTGAGCATGCAACATGGGGTAGATGAACAGTGGGGCTTTCATGGCGTGGGACCTCATTTGCATCTAGAATCGAATAGAGCTGAAGAGACCCTTGTTGTTGTCATATTTGTCTGCCGACATTTTTGCCTTTTAACTTCTGGGGTCCTAGAGTAACCGCTGAAAAGCTGGCCAGCACGTGTCCAGCAAGAGACAGCGCTGTGTTTCATCAGGCTCTGAATCCCACCATTGTTCCTCCGCCTTTAACCGTTTCTTCTCACACTTGACTCCGGGACCAGTCCCACCCGGCACTCCCCTCCTGCACTTTTCATCTCTTCCCTTTGTTTGTGCCTTGGGCGATATGTGAATCTGAGCCTTGTTCCCCCAAAATAGTTGTCTGTAGGCGGAGAAGGTTGCAGGAAGTCTCTGAAATGAAAGGGTAAGGCACAGATGTTGGGTTTCGGCAACATGGCAAAAGACATTTGGATGGGAGTCATTTTAGGTCGGGGCTGTGATCTCAGGGCATGAGACATGCACGCTGAAAATGGAGGAGCCTGTGTGTCAATGTAAAGGAAGGGAGGGGGAAAGACACTCCTAGACAGTTTTCTAAGGGAGAATCAAACCTGTGCTGTGGTCACAGCTCAGGAATAGTATTAATTGTTGCCCACATTTCAGTGAGCTTCTCTAATCTGAACGTGCAAAATGAGCAAAGGCCTATGCTTGTATTTGCAAAATGGGTCATTGTCCATACAACTACGATTCACACACAGTTCAGTGCCTTTTGGTCTTCAATTACAGCATTTGTGTGTGCAAATCCTGCACATAATTAAATGCATTTCTAATTTGTACATTGTCTGCACAGCTCCGGTTATCATGTACACGAATCACTATCACCAGTCGTCTGCATACATGCCAGCAGTAACTAGTCGGCGTTTGCACCAATGCCAATAGCAAATGCAAAATAGGTGGGCGGTTGTGTGCATATTGTTGCACGCGTTGCATTTTGGAGATGCTGTAGTGGAAACCTGCCGAACAAGTTGCATTTTATGCGATGTTAAAGTTGAGGGCTCTAAATTCCTCTGGTTTCCATTCTACCTCCCATCACAAGGAAATGTTTAAGTGGGCCACATTTGCATGTTGTTGTGTACGTTTGAGCTAAGAGTCATTTAAGAGCCACATGTCTTTAGAGATCTAATTGCTAGACAGGAAACCTCTGTGAAATGGGGAGTAGGGGAGTGGGAGTGTGCCCATGCCCAGCACACCATAAATCTGTTGCTTTTCTACCAATCTGCTGTTCTTTTTCTTGATTTTCAGTTTGCTGACTCTCTGCAGCAGCAGGAGGTTTTGAGGCTGGTACATGCTGGTGCCTGTGAGTTATGGTCCTGTCAGGGGCTATTACTTACACTTTATCAGGCTTTGCATTTCTAACTCCAGCTGACCTCAGAGCCGCCTATGAAATTCTCCCTCTGCAGAGTTATGGAGCCCATGATCTTGGCAGCTCCCAAACGAGTTATATTTGATACTTTTCAATGAGCGGATATCCGTCGCTTTGATTCATTCCTAATGCCAGAGTCGCGGATGTGGGGATACCCTGCAGCACACATTGGCACAAAAGCCTGGGGATGGGGAATTGTTGCCTTGTGAATCTAGGGCATGCAAAGATGGCCACACGGGCAGCATTGCTTTACCCTTCCCAGTTGGGCTACTTCTGCTGTTTGCGAAGATGCATGGAGTCTCAAGAGACTGAAAAACCCTCCTCTGCTTAAGACTAACTCCTGAAAGTGCTGGCTAGCTGGAGACTCAAGAGACAAGTAGATGACCCAGGAGATGAGGGGAAGAAAAAATTGGCTAAAAGGACCTCAATTCCAAGAATCAAAGGAAACCATGCCCAATAAACTAAGTGGCAAAGGTGGTCTGACTGTCTAGCTGTCAGAGGCAACTCTGGACATGAGATAACATATGTTCCTCTTTCTCCTCCAGGGTCAAGCCGGTTAAAACTGACAGTCCTGTCTGAAGATAGGTTACAGATGAAATGGAAAGAGACTGAAGGGAACATCAATGGGTACAAGGTTCGAGTGAAGCCCATGGCAGGTATGTACTTATGGTACCCGGATTGGATTTGGGAGAGATTAATGAACTTTTTGGCTGGACACATCATGGGACATCATGAGTTTCCCCTTCGCTTTGCTCTTTCATTTAATTGCCACCCTGTGGTACCAAGTGGGAGGCTGCCACAATTTATTTTAGGGATAATTTCAATAATCTTCTGCAAACTCCCTGGAGAACAGAATTGATGCTGGTTGGGAATTGTCTGTGTTTTTGGGTAAAACAAAATAAGAAAGTTGATTCATCAACATTGAAATGCTGTGAAGCACACCTCCCTGAATTTGAACTTGGGTTAGCCTCATCTGGTGTGTGTCCACACAAAGTCATGATCTAGTCGAACCTAAATGGCACAATGCAAAGTTAAACCCAGTCCCATTTTAAAGCACCTCCAAACCTGAGTAGGAGGCTTCTCTGTGTGGTTGGCAGTGCCAGGGATGGGAAGTGGGATTAAAAAACAGCATAGGAGCTTGGTTGAATTCTGCAGGGAATACATACCCCTTGACTGCACCTATCCCAGGAATGACAGCATCTCAAAACCAGACTACAGCAGTAGATACAAAATTCTTCATCTTTACCAAGATTGCCTCTCGGGTAATACATATACACTGTAAACAGTTCAGCTGCTGCTAGGGTTTTACTTTGGTTAATCAAATGTAGAAAAATGCAGACATGTCATTCTACAGTGTTAAGCCAGTAACATGCTTGTGAAATATAGATGGATGAGATCCAAGATTTCGGGAGGCGATGCACCACTTTTAGTCGGGGAGAATAATTCCTCGTGATTAAACGCTCATACAAATCAATCAAACGTTTCGAGATTCTTTTACCGCTGTTTGCTTTAGATGTAGCAATCACAGGTATTCCTCTAACAGACCCCTAATGAGGTGCTGAAAAGGGGATTATAGGTGTTGGAAGGGAGTGGGTGAGGGGGCAAGATACTAAAGGAATTACAGCTGAGTCTATGTCGAGGAGCAATGTCAGAAAGTGCAAGGCAGTCGTGAGCATCTTGTGAGGAGCAGAGTGGGAGAATGTGTCAGTAAAGGAGAGCAGGAAAAGTGACAGGTAATAGGACATGCTGGAGCAATCAAACTGAGTAAGAAGGTAACTACTAATTACCAGGCCAGTTCCCTGGTCCTCACCCTGCATGGCGCTGCATGCCCTCATCTCCCAGGATCTTTCTGCCTGAACATGTTTGCAAAGCAATGCAATAGGACAAGCAGTGAGGCAGGACACTCGTCCCTGAATGGGAGTGGGACATTTCCCTTTCCTTCCTCAGACACCCCCAAAATTGCAGCTCAGGCTGTTCCTGCCATTAGTGGCACATTTCCCAATGTAGGTAGGGGCTGAGCAGTCTGGAAAGGGCATTGTTTTTGCCTGGTGCCTTCTGCTCCTGACTGACAGCAGGCTGGAAAGCAAAGCAGATGGAGGAAGTTTAGTTTACTCCTACCTGGCTTTCAAATAGGGCTGTCCCTGTCCCAGGCTCCGGCATGGAAGTCGAGGGAAGCCAGGATGGCACGTGTGTCTGCCCATTGATGGATAAGCTGGTGCAATCCTGCTTTTAGCTCTGTGTGCCCCTGTTGGCTGAGCCAGAGCTGAGCCCCTCTCACCCCTCTTCTCCGGCTCCTCCTGGGCCTGCGTGATGGGAGACCCTTCTGGGACCCTGCAGACTATGCATGTGCCATTAGGCAGCAGTCCCGATGAAACCCTGCTCCAGGGCTGGGGAGGGAGAATGAGGAGAGCTGGGGGCACCATCCTCCTGCCAAAAAATAGCTGGCATCTCCCTGTCATGCTCCCATCAGAAAACACCACACCGCTGTACCCCTAAAGCACTTCAGGTCATGTCCGTACAGCTCTGCAGGCATCTGCTTTTCTTGTTACCGAATCCCATCCCTCTGCCTCATTTGCAAATGTATACCATTTCTGTGGTTGCTCCTTGGTCGGGCTGTCTCTGCTCCACAGCTTCTTGGCATGTTGGTACAGGCAAGGCAGGAGGCCAGCGGCATGACAGTGGGGCCAGATGCCTACGTGCCATCGCTCTGCATTGCCAGCTGAAAGGCCATGCATAAGTAGCAGCTAGTGGATGCAGTGTTTCTTGAGTGAGCACTTCCTGGGGATATAATGCTGCCGGGATGGCGTCACAAACTGCATTGCTTGAGGTCGCTAGTCCCTGCAGCAAGAAGAAGAAGGATTGGGCCTGGGAAGCCTCCCAGCAGGGAGATGCCATGCCAGCCTGCCAGCCCCTGAGAGCGTCACTGCTCAGCACTGCCTGGCAGGCAGTGGCCACCTTGGGCTTTTGCCTCCTATGCAGTTGCTCAGAGCAGCCACATGCCACCACCAAGCTGCTGACAGCTCCATTAGCAATAACAGCCCTGGGAGCTGCTGACAGTGCCCGTAACACAGCCGCCACCGTGGCCTGATCTCCCCTTTCTAGTCTGCTTCCAGCCTGCTCCCATGACAGCAGCACCACGGGCTAGCAAAGGAGCGGGCCAGCAGGATTTTCCCACAGGCTCCCCTCCAGCGTGTCCATGGGCATTTGAAATGAGGCCAAGCCATTTCCTCCAGCCCCACCGATGGCATCCTTACTGCAACAACAGGGGATTGTAGACTCCCCTATGTAGGAGATGGATGTATGGCCATGCTTTTAATGGGCTTTCTTGAAACGCACATTAGCACTGCAGAGTGACTGAGTCAGCTCCAGGGTTTTCTGAGAGGAAGAGGAGGAAGATGTGCTGGGTGGCATGCCCACCATGGTCTTGGGAGACCTACGTCCTAAGTGCTCTGCCACAGGCTCCCGCTACAACCTTGGGCAAGCCACATTGGGGGTGGATTTCATAACTGGTTTCCTATACTGAGGACCCAACCTTTAGCTGCCAAGGAGCTGATTTCCAGAAGGGCTGGCCCCCAGAAGTGTCTTGTGAAGCTGATGAGAAGTCCAGGTGCTGGACCAGAAATACTTTGCTTGTCCCCAGATGAAAAGATCTAACACGCTTGACAATTTTCCTGACCCATCAGATCCAAAACCCAAACTTAGTCAATCAAAATGTCAGCTTCTTTTTCATTCCAGTCCTTTCCCTCCCTCTCCCTTAAATTTAAAAGCTAGGATGTTGGTCCGAGCCACCGCGTCTCTCTCCTCCCTCTCTCCATCCCAGGTGACTCCGAGCAGGAAGTCATGCTGAAAACCAAAACGCCGAAAGCCACGGTCGGGGGGCTGAGTCCCACAAAAGAATATACTCTGCACATCTATGTGCTCAACAGCTCACAGGAAGCCCTGTTTGCCAAGAGGAAATTTGTGAGTAAGTGGCACATGCGACACTTGCCATCTCCGCTGGCCTTCCGTGCGTGGGTGTCCTCACGGTTAATCCCTTGGGTGCTTTTGGATGCAGGCTGCAGATAGCCCACAGTGGGTGTGATTTTTGTGCAATTGTGTCTGAAGGGGTGGGGGGCCAAGACGGTTTTGGTCGGGGGCAGGGAGATGGAGGAGAGAAGGGAGAGAGCCTGGAAATCAGCTAGTGTCTGCTGTCCATGAAGCCAGTCGGGCTGCTATAAGGTTTATGGTCCCATTTGCAATGTCACCATCTCCTTCCACTGCGGTTTTTGCAGTTGAAGAGCTGAAAAACCTCTCTCAGGCTCGAAATAACCGGAGGAACACGGCAACTGGCCCAGAAAAGAGCCTCGCCTCGCTTGGAAACACAGCAACTGAGCCGGAGTCAGAGACGTCTTCCCCGGCCCAGAGCGACTCCTTCATGCAGACAGGTGGGTGCAAGGGGATGCACTTAGCCAATATGCAAGAGTTGAGGGGAGGGGTGGGTATCATTTGCACACATGACATAGCTGGGGATAATGGCCTTCTCTCTGTGATCATTTGTAATGCAGCGAAGGACCGGCCAGAAAAGAAGAGACAGAAGGCCGCTGTATCTAAGAGCTCGAGTGAGAAACCCCGGAGCAAGCTGAGCACTGGGTTAGGCATGACAGAAGCAACCCCGACGACCGTGAAAACACCGCAGCACAGCCAGACAAAATCTGAGCGAGACGATCTCAGCAAAGAAAAACCCACAAAGGAAACGTTAAGAAGAGGCGAGTTTCTTACACACCTCTCTGATTTTTAAAATACAGATCCTCCTGCCAAAAGAGGAGTGATTTCTTCCTGACAGTCCCAAAAAAGGGACCATTCCTTATCTCTGGTTTATTATCTGTCTCTAAGGCATCTCGTTCCTTTTTGCCCACTAAGCCCAGCTCAAAGACAAATCATCCAGCCTGCACCCATCAACCAATACTGTCCAGAACGAAGGCATCATTTGGCTTGTCTTTATCTATAGGGATGTTATTTGGAAGATTGCCGTGTATTGCAGGAAATGTTTGCAACGCTGCAGACTGGCAGAAACTATAGTCCGAATATGGATACTTGGCCAGAAATTTCTTCCAAAAAGGGCATTTTCTCATTACCCACTATTCTCCATTCATTTTTCTCTAATCAAAAAGCTTCAGTAAACAGTTGAAGTAGAAAAAAATATATATACTAGGCACCTGAGGCAAAGGATCATGTGCGCTGAGCAATGGAGTTGAATTGAATGGCACTAAGGAAGGGAGTTTTGCACCTTGATGCTCAGATCTACCAGCATACTTATACTGGGGGGGAAGGATGACTCAGTGGTAAGGGCACCAGCTTAGGGCTTGGAGTCTGCTTTGGTAAAGACTTCTCTGTGTCCTGGATCAACCTCTTATTTTCCCATCTAGAAGATACATTCCTACTTCCCTGGGTAATTCTGACTATACATTTATTAAAAGATCAGGAAACACTCAGCTCCTCCAGTGCTGAGGCCATAAGTGCATCCTAGATGGATAGATCAGAGCTCCCATGATTGCAGCATCTTAGCAGCTATCTAGGAACAACCAGGTTGCTGGGTTTTTGGTTGTAGCTGTGTTGGTCTAAGGACATAGGCAGGCAAGGTCCTTTGGGTAGACGTGATCTCTTTTATTAGACTGAGTAGCTGGGAAAAAAGTACTTAGCAAGCTTTTGGGCATGGCCACCCTTCTCAGAGACTTCCTATGCCCCCTTCTCAGGGACTTCCTATGCTTGAAGAAGGGTGATTGTGCTCGAAAGTTTGCTAAGAACTTTTTTCCAACTACTGAGTTGGTTTAATAAAAGATATCACATCTACCCAAAAGACCTTGCCTGCCTGGGAACAAAACAGTGCATTTAAGGCCATTGGGATCAGTCTCCAGTTCTTTTTAAACAGTGGGAAATGGCTAGGCATGCAACAGATAGCACTGAGAATGCAAAATCCCACTGGAAGCAAACTCCTGCTTCCTTCGCTGTTTCTGTCCGGTCTTCTGAGATTGTATTCTTCAGCCAAGCTTGTAACAATGCAGCATCCTAGCAAGACAGCTTGCTTTTACCTAAGCGAGGAGGGGAAAAGAAAGCCCAGGCTCCTCCATATTTAATCTAACTCATGGGAAAGCTTTTAACTGCCCTGTCCTCACTAGGCTTAGACTTCAGGTTAGCTAACTTGATAAAAATGAGGACACAGAGCCATGATGCTGAATTTGGTTGTTCCCTCAGTCTCTTTAATAGGGAATGATGATGGTGGGGACATTTTTGGGGAGGAACCAACCCAATGGATCGCTATATGGCTGGGTTCAGTTCACTGGGACGAGTCCAATCCCTGGCAATCGCATGGCAGCTCCAGGGGATGCGGCTGGGAGGGATCCCGCCCCCGTGCAGCC